CCTAATTTCATCCATTTGATGGTTTTGTTTTTTCAGTTCTACTTTAAATAAAAACGTGTGATCGTCCACTGTTATATATTATTCTTTGCAAATCATTTCCTAGTGTTACTACTCATCTTATTTTTGTTAATATTATTAGGGCATTTGATGTTGTGGAGAGAAGATATTATGTAAAGCCAAAGCAAAGATGAAACTAAAGTGGTTAGGGGTATATTTTTCAAATTAGGCTTCTATACTTGACTATTCTAAGGTCTAAGGTTTATATTCCCATAGATTTTATTAATGATTATCCTGCTCTAAGATTGGGTTTGATTCTAAACACGATTTCACCACCTCCCACCCCACTGTCTTGCTGGGGCTTCTTTGCGCTTGGACATGGGGTATCTCCTCACAGCCACTCCAGTGCCACGCAGCCGCAGCTCCGAGTGCCTGAATAACTATGGATGGAGGTTTGTGACATTGTACAGGAGGCAGGGATCAAGACCATATGCAAAAAAAAGAAATGCAAAAAGGCAAAATGGTTGTCTGAGGAGGCCTTACAAATAGCTGTGAAAAGAAGAGAAGTGAAAGGCAAAGGAGAAAAGGAAAGATATACCCATTTGAATGCAGAGTTCCAAAGAATAGCAAGGAGATATAAGAAAGCCTTCCTCAGTGATCAATGCAAAGAAATAGAGGAAAACAATAGAAGGGGAAAAGACTAAAGATCTCTTCTCTCATAGCTCAAGTTGGTAAAGAATTCGCCTGCAATGCAGGAGATCCTGGTTTGATTCTTGGGTCAGGAAGATCTGCTGGAGAAGGGATAGGCTACCCACTCCAATATTCTCTTGGGTTTCCTTGGTGGCTCAGCTGGTAAAGAATCCACCTGCAATGCAGGAGACCTGGGTTCGATCCCTGGGTTGGGAAGATCCCCTGGAGATGGGAAAGGCAACCCACTCCAGTATTCTGGCCTAGAGAATTCCATGGACTATATAGTCCATGGGGTCGCAAAGAGTCAGCACAACTGGGCGACTTTCACTCACTCAGAGATCTCTTCAAGAAAATTAGAGATACCAACAGAACATTTCATGCAAAGATAGGCTCAATAAAGGACAAAAATGGTATGGACCTAACAGAAGCAGATGATACTAAGAAGAGGTGACAAGAATACACAGAAGAACTATGCAAAAAAGATCTTCACGACCCAGATAATCACAGTGGTGTGATCACTCACCTAGAGCCAGACATCCTGGAATGTGAAGTTAAGTAGGCCTTAGGAAGCATCATTACAAACAAAGCTAGTGGTGGTGATGGAATTCCAGTTGAGCTATTCAAATCCTAAAAGACAATGCTGTGAAAGTGCTGCCACTCAATATACCAGCAAATCTGGAAAACTCAGCAGTGTTCATGGGACTGGAAAATGTCAGTTTTCATTCCAATCCCAAAGAAAGGCAATGCCAAAGAATGCTCGAACTACCACACAAGTGCACTCATCTCACACGCTAGCAAAGTAATGCTCAAAATTATCCAAGCCAGGCTTCAGCAATACGTGAACTGTGAACTTCCAGATGTTCAAGCTGGATTTAGGAAAGGCAAAGGAACCAGAGATCAAATTGCCAACATCTGTTGGATCATCAAAAAAGCAAGAGAGTTCCAGAAAAATATCTATTTCTGCTTTAGTGACTATGCCAAAGCCTTTGACTGTGTGGATCACAACAAACTGTAGAAAATTCTTCAAGAGATGGGAATGCCAGACCACACAGCCTGCCTCCTGAGAAATCTGTATGCAGGTCATGAAGCAACTGTTAGAACTGGACATGGAACAACAGACTGGTTCCAAATAGGAAAAGGAGTACGTCAAGGCTGTATATTGTCACCCTGCTTATTTAACTTATATGCAGAGTACATCATGAGGAAATGCTGGGCTGGAAGAAGCACAAGCCGGAATCAAGATTGCCAGGAGAAATATCAATAACTTAAGATATGCAGATGACACCACCCTTATGGCAGAAAGTGAAGAAGAACTAAAGAGCCTCTTGATGAAAGTGAAAGAGGAGAGTGAAAAAGTTGGCTTAAAGCTCAACATTCAGAAAACTAAGATCATGGCATCTGGTCCCACCACTTCATGGCAAAGAGATGGGGAAGCAATGGAAACAGCGACCGACTTTATATTTTTTGGGCTCCAAAATCACTGTAGATGATTTCATGACTGCAGCCATGAAATTAAAGGATGGTTGTTCCTTGGAAGAAAAGAAAACCTAGACAGCATATTAAAAAGCAGAGACATTACTTTGCCAACAAACGTCCGTCTAGTCAAAGAGATGGTTTTTCCGGTAGTCATGTATGGATGTGAGAGTTGGACTATAAAGAAAACTGAGCACCAAAAAATTGATTCTTTTGAACTGTGGTGTTGGAGAAGACTCTTGAAAGTCCGTTGGACAGCAACAAGATCCAGCCAGTCCATCCTAAAGGAAATCAGTCCTGAATATTCATTGGAAGGACTAATGCTGAAGCTGAAACTCCAGTATTTTCCCCACGTGATGGCGAAGAACTGACTCATTTGAAAAGACCCTGATGCTGGGAGGAGAAGGGGACAATGGTTGCATGGTTGGATAGCATTACTGACCCAATGGACATGAGTTTGAGTAAACTCTGGGAGTTGGTGATGTCTGTTGCTGCAGTCTGTGGGGTCGCAAAGAGTTGGACATGAATGAGTGACTGAACTGAACTGAAGACTGAGTTATAAACTAGAAGCAACTGAAAAAAGGTTGCTAAAAGCAACTACAAAAAACTAGATCTTGAACTGATCAAACATTAAGCAACACTGGAAATTCCTTAATACTCTTCCCTAATAAACTTGCCTCTTTACAGATTGTGTCTATATAACATCTTATTTTATCTCTGAGTTAAAGCACTCCTTTTCATTTGAATCCACCCACACACATTCTCAGATGCTAATGACTTGATCTGATAAATGTACAACTCATTCTAAACCCATTCCATAAATTTATCATTAAGTTCCAAAACTTTCCTTTCAGTGTAGACTGTAATCACAGTAATAACTTATTATACAAAGAATTATTTTAATGGTATAAAAATGGTATAAGACAAAACCCAAAGATTACTCATTTAACAATATTTAAAACTGATTGGGGTGATCCAATAAGTAAAAATGAATGACACTTTTGGGTGAAGTACATTTTCAAGTGTTTATTCAAAAAATATTTCTTCTTTCCTATTTTTCTCTTACAGCTTTTAAGAAAACAAGAATAATTCTTCATACACTAGCATTAATATTAAGCATCCCATATATCTTATGGGTTTGTACACTGCATTTCAGTACAATATTATCTACTAAAATATGTTATTTTTATTTTACATTCTGGGTAGGATTAAAATAAATAATATAAAAATAATTTAACAACTCTATGAAATATCTACTATGTTCCAGGTTTGGGAACACAAAAATAAATAAATGGTCCCTGCCATTAAGTGGCTCACAATCTAACGGGGGAGATACACACATCAAACAGACAATTTAATGTAGTATGACAGCTTTGAGAATGGTATGTACAAAGAACTACGGAACCTTAAAAGGGTCACTTAATGCAGAATGGTAGAAGGTAGGAGTGGTTTCCAGGTTAAGATGATACACTGTACAAAAGAATTTATGAAGAAGAGAATTAATGGTGAGTGGAAAGAACATTCCTATAGTGGGGATTACCGAATAATCCTAGAGACTGGACTGTCTGATCTTCAAGGTCCCTTCTACCCCCAAGAAGATAGTAGGAGATAACCTTAGCGTGCTGCAGTCCATGGGGTCGCAGAGAGTCGGACACGACTGAGTGACTGAACTGAACTGAACTGAACCAATCATCACCTACTTGATTCAACAAAGGGAATCTGTATACAGCAGGACATACTCCTCATATTTGTTGACTTGTTAAATATTGAGTTCCTGGACTCTTAGTCCTGGACTCTTCATGCGATAGAGCATAATTTAAGAAGAAAATCCCATACTAACTAAAATGTTTTGTAGTCATGTTACCAATGGTGCTGATCACAGTTTCAGACTGAACAATCTGGTACCACGAATATATCATCTACTTTTAAGTAAAAGAGAACAAAAGTTAAAGGTTCCTATGAAGCTATAAACTCTAACAAAGTCAAGTATATAGGTTTCTTGTAAATAATATTTTCTTTTCTTTTAAATGTGGAAAAACAAAAAGGAGCTGGTCCTTTTTCTTGGTTATCTATAAGAAGTACACTAGATGGTGCTACAAGATGTCAGAAAGAAGATAAGTTTTACCAAGAAAAACAGTGTGGAGGTTCTGATGGCACTTTCCATACATTTCAGCCCCTGAGAGTATTTCAAGGTTTGTAGGCAAGTAATGAGGAACTTAATCTCACAAATTTTAGTTCTCTGGTTGGACTCATTTAAAATTAAACCACATGTTTAACACAAAATGTTTTGTTTGACAATTCAATCTGATTCCACTGAAATGGAAAATTTTAAGTTATTAAAATATACATTTATTATACACTTAAACATATTGCTATTAATTTCATTTAGGGATTTTTCCCATGAGCCTAACTATGTCTACTAATTAATAAATCTCTAAATCAGTTCCTTCACATTGTTTCTTGAATTTTCAAATTATCATTAAGCAGAGAACACTAATACAACTCTTTAATCATTAAAATACTCAAGTACTGCAACAGGCCAACACAAATACATGAAATAATACATTTTGAAATCACCCTATCAGTATAGGATTTTTATATAAATAACATTTCATGATTTTTCCACATTACAGTAAAACCAGAAACATTTAGGTAAGACATTATTTTACCTGAAGTGCAAAATAAAAACAAAGTTTTATTTTTTATATTTTCTATTTAGTTATCTTTTAAATGTTAAATAATAAAAATACAAACAAAAAAAATGGACGGTTAAAGACATACTTTTTATAATCTAAGAGTCATTTTGGTTTTAAACTCTCAAAGTTAGGAGAGTTTGCTGCTTATCTTTCCAATTCTGCTTCTAGAATTTCCCCCCATGTGTCTGCATCCATTGGGTACATGATTTTTTCTGGTAGGCTGACAGGAGAACATATGTTGCTGTATCTGCCAGTTAGCCACTCATGTTTCACTTTACTCTTCTGGTAATTCCTCAGTAGTATGACCTGAAAGAAGTAAACCACCATTTTTAATGGCAATCCACTCCAGGATTCTTGCCTGGAGAATTCCATGGAGAGAGGAGCCTGGCTGGCTACAGTCCATGGCAAAGAGTCAGACATGACTGAGCGACTAACACTATTACTACTACTAACTACCACCACTGTTAAAGAAGGTAGTCAGGGGTTGGTGAATGAGTTTGTTTGAAGCTAGAGAAGCTGACTGAAAGGCTGAAAAGATTAAATATTTGCATTGATACACACATCTATTAATAAATGTGTGTGTGCGTGTGTGTGTGTGTGTGTGCACGTACAGAATAGTGTGAGTTACACAGTTTGCTGGGGTTTTTGGATAGGTGGAGTAAAATGAAGTAGCCATTGTGGTTTATGAGGTAAATGCCCCCCAAATTCAAAAGGATAGATGGGAGATATCCCTTTTGCAGGAAAAGAATATAATTTGACTTTAACTCCCAAAGTCAACCCACTCTGTGTGTCATTCTGTATATGAAATCCTCCAGAGTGTGGCTCAAACAGACCACCATATTGTCAAGAGGGCTTCAGATTGCAAAGGTTAAACTTACCCTCCAGGGATAACCACTCTCTAGATCATCATCTATCTCTCTTTGACAAACAGCTCTTACAGTCAGGCAGTGAGGTTTCCACAAGGAGTCGCTGTGTCTTATTGCATGATTCCAGCTCCTGCATGTCACCGAAGCCCTGCACAAGCTCCGGATGTCTAGCTGACTGAAAATTTTAAAAGTAACTTCTGGAGGCAGCAGTTCAACAAAATTATTTTGACACTCTTTTTTTTCCTTTTCAGCATCCACAGAGTTCAATTCTATGTCAGAAACTCTTGAAGCGTGGTTTCTCTTGGAGTTTTTCTTCATAGCTTGGTATTTTAGTGAATTATCCTCATATATAACCTGAAAGGCAAAGGCTAAAAATATTCACTGCCTTTAGATCAGACTGTAGACACCCCTTTGAGCCAGATACTTTCATGGTTAGATTTAATGAACTTTAACTTTCTTGACTTGAGCTCTTCAGTCTGTCAAATGGAGCCAGTGATGCTAATCTGGTGTGTCTTCTTACAAGGATGACCAGAGATGATGAGTGAAGAATCTAGCTCTACGTCTGAACTGAACACAGGAGACATGCAACACATGCTACTCCTTTTCTTCTTTTTAGATATTTTTGGTAAATGGGTTTCTTTCTAAACATTTGTTTTTCTACTCCCAAAGAAAATTATCTGAAAAAGAGATGTGATTCTTCACATTCAGTCTATAATTTATTTTTAGTAGTAGAAACAACTATGGTGAGAACACATTCTATTCCAAGTATTGATTGAAAAAACTTTTGAAAATGTATATGTTTCAGTTCTACTCAACTCATTGAATATTAGTCTGTGGGAACAAATGCCTTGTCTTTAAGTTTTTCACTTATAACTTGTGACTTAATGACAAACCTAATGAATTTTCAGTAGTTTATATAAGAATTGTTTATCTACTTGCACTTAATAGGTAAATGCTCACATTTGACACAGATGCTATCTGAAATTGATAAGAGGTTGAGGTCTGGGCTATACTGACAAAATCTCAAATATTCAATTAGTTATAAGAGTTGTGTTTTAGAAATAGCTTCTTGAGGCTATTCCACATGTATAGTTAATTACAGACTAAGATAACTAGTCATTAAGGCCATCAAATGACAGTGACTAACAACTATAAACAATATTTGTAACGCATCTAGGTAAAGCACATGACTAAAGATTGAAAGTCCAGTCTGAGCTAATTTACCTAAGGTGCATGGTTTAGGCTCCTGATATCAGTTGAAAGTATGGAGGTATTTTGGCATATAAAGACAGTTCATATTTACTTAAAATCAATTTATTCCAGTTTCTACTGCCTTTTATAGTGAGGGGCGTTGGTGCAGGAGAGGTTTCAGATATAGCTAATACTTCATTTATCTTAGCTAATGACAAATTCCCCTTTCTAGATGTGCTCAGTTCAGTTCAGTTCAGTTCAGTTGCTCAGTCGTGTCCGACTCATTGAGACCCCATGAATTGCAGCACGCCAGGCCGCCCTGTCCATCACCAACTCCCGGAGTATACTCAAACTCATGTCCATCGAGTCGGTGATGCCATCCAGCCATCTCATCCTCTGTCGTCCCCTTCTCCTCCTGCCCCCAATCCCTCCCAGCATCAGGGTCTTTTCCAATGATCTAGATGTGCTACTCACCTATATGTTTCTATACCTGTCAAGACCACAGATGCTCCCGTTCATTTGGTTATGATACAAGTTGGCTACAGTGGTCAGAATTTTAATGTCTGACTTCAACAGAGGATTTCCTCTTGAGAGTTTGGGGAAGTAAGAAAGCAAACTGCAAAAAATAAGTTCATAAGTCAAGTTTTTGCTCTTCCACCCTCTAGCCCTCATCAATAATAAACTAAAGCCAAACTACTCTATTCTTGAAAAAAATCTCATACTAGGAGAAAGTTACTGTGCATTTAAACGCACATTTGTTGTTTCTCCTAAGATCTCCCTGGAGATAAATACGTCCTCCCGTTACAATTATTCCACACGAGGCAGACGAAAGCATTTCAGTTTAACAGATGGGGGTGCCTAAACCCCAACTAGGCGTTTTTCTTCTTCTGAGCCCCATTTTGCCTGGATGTCTAGAAACCTACCCTCTTCTTTCTAAACCAAACTTTGCTAAATTACCTCTCTAATTAGGTGACAGGTCACCCCTCTTTCAGGTGCCACACGGAGGGAGGAATCGTAAAGCAGGGCAGACGCCCGGCTCTCCGGGAGCCTCCACCCCAGGCAGACACTGCAGGCCGGAGGGAATGACCCCACGTCCCATCTGAACCACCCTCCTGGCATGCCCGGCGCCGACAGCAGCTGTCGGAGTCCAAAGAATATCTGGGCATTGACAGGTAAACAATAACAACTGTCAGCACCGACTGTCACCGCAGCTCCGGTAGGCCGAGCAGAGGCTGTGCGAGAGCCAGGGCCGCGCCCCGGATTACGCCTGCCAGATGTCAGCGCAAAGGGAAGACCCCCTCCTACCTACTGGAAAGCTGCTGCCTCTCGATCCGCGATTTAAATTGTCCAGAATTCGAATCCTTCCCCCAGTCCCTTTCTTCCCACCCACTCTAGCCCCGCCTTGCTGACTCAGATTTCGCACAGGCGCGGAGAGGGGCGCGCGTTGCCTCTTGGGATTGGTAGTTTTCCAGGGGCGCCTGAGATCGGCAGTGGAGGAGAAGGGAAGGCGTCATGGACTACAAAGACCGGCGTCCTCCGAGACGGGTGGGCGGTGAGAAGGGCTGGGGGGGTGGGGGTTGGGTAACCGGGGCTTTTAAAAGACCGATTGGAGGCGGTGTGAAAGGGGATTCCCTGAGTACGTCACTGGCCGGAGTGGAGGGGCGGGGTTCGGTCCCCCTCGGTGGGGCCCCAGCTCCGCGCAGCCGGGGCACACTCGAGGGCCGTCTTTGCTCTACCTCCTCCTGTGTTTTTCGGGGCCTGCCTGGGCCTTGCGCCTGTCGTTGTAAGGCGGAGACGGTTGCAGGGTCTCGCCCCTTGCGAAGGGGTCTATTTAATCCTCGCCGCCATGTCCGGGGGCTTCGAGCTGCAGCCGCAGGACGGCGGCCCCCGGGTGGCCCTGGCGCCCGGGGAGACGGTCATCGGCCGCGGGCCGCTGCTGGGAGTAAGTGTGGCGGGGGTTCGGGGGCCCCGGAGAACCGCGAGGTCCCGGCGGGCTCCTGAGGTCCTGTTCTGGGTTCCCTACCGCTCCGGGCAGGCCTTTCTGGATTTTAGAAGTTTGAAGGCAGCACGTTTTTCAGTCAATTTGAACTAACTCGCAGACGTTTCCTTCTGCTGCCTTTAAAAAGCACTGACCTGGATTATCGTCATTAGTGTTTTACCCGGAGGTCGGCAGACTATGTCCCTGGCTCCAAATCCAGCCAGCAATTGTTGGGACCCACATACTAAGAATGCTTCTCAGATTTAAAAATGTAAACAAAAAAACCCATATTAGCCTTTAAGGGAGAAGAATTTCTCTAAGGGTTGGGAATATTGCCTGTTAGCTTGATAAGCCACGATATTTATAGTAATTTCTGGCCCTTAACAGAAAAAGTCTGCCAACCTCTGATCTTAGTTTTTCTAGAATAATTTCTTTTAAGCTTTGGCCCCTCTGGTGGTACTGTCTGGGCGTTACTTTTATTGTAATAATCTTTTTCAGTAACGTCAGTGACTCACCTTTATGTAGTGTGTAGAATTCCAGGCATTGATCTAAAGACTACCTGTACCAGCTTCTTTAAACCTTTCCAAACTTTTTGAGTTGGGTGCTCTTATCTTCATTGTTCAGATGAGAAAATTGAGCGAGTTATTTAAGGGACACACACACAAGATTTTGGGTAACAGAGTGCAACTGGGTTATGTATTCTTCCTCTGGGGTGTTTAGGAGTTAGAAAACTTGCCTGTAACGTTCTGGAAATTTGTCGATCTCTCACTAAATACATAAATATTGTTTTCTCGACATGCAACGTGTCTTGTTTACTGGCCACTTTATGCTGCGCGTCTTCAGACCCTAGCACTGCGGGTGCACACAGAGATAAAATGGATACTTGCCCTCCAGTTTTCTCTTGGACTGTCTGAACAAAGCTGTATCAGTGAGCCTATACCAGGAAGTAAGGAGTCTGGTCACTTACCCTGATTAACCGCCAGTGTCTAAATGGAACCATTGGTATTAGGCTTAGGACCCCTTTCCAGGCAGAAAAAGGAAAGGTGGTTCATGGCGGTGATGAGGAAATTAGTTTTAGAGGAGTGTGAGTGTATGCATATGTAGTGGGATTATTGAGAAACTTCAAGTTCACTTGCTGTTTTTTTTTTTTCCCACTTAAATGTGTATTACTTTTCTCCATAGTCTATTATATACAAACCTTTGGAGTAACTGCTTGGGAGGTTTTCTCCCTCTGTTTTCCTTCCTTTCTTATTCCCTTCCCTCCTTTCCTCTCCTCCCTCCCGGTCTATTCCTCTTTCTCTCGCTCCCTACTTCTCTCTCTCATTTTATCTCAGTAGAGTATCTGCTTCATCTAGAAATCTTATGTCTGGTTACTAATGAGTTTTAATTTACTCAACAAATCATATAATTAATGTAGAGTACTATGGATTGGGTTAAATGATGGGTGAATTTTAGGCCTCTGTTTTATAAATTTGGCACCAGGTCACAGACCCTTCATTATTTGTAGCTTGATCTTTGCTAATAGGTTTGCTAATGTGAGACAAGCTTATTTGGTTTCTGTTTTTAAAAATGGTAAGGAATAGGAAGTCAGTTACCTGGTCAGGATTTAGTTTTTCCTTTTTGAATAGTCATTGATGGTGAGATTCTGTTTCCAAATTTGGTGGGTATTAGAAGTGAATGATACTAGATGTGTTGAAGAAAAACCTTGAAGAACAAACAAATCACCATGTGGTTTTCAAAAATTTGGAGCTGACAGGTGTTTCTTCTCTACAGTGTTTTAAAACTCTGCATGAGGGCTGCAGTTTCAAACAACAGCAATTCCAGTGAGGGTTGTTTTTTTTTTTTTTTTTTCATGGTGTGTGAGAGAGCACAGACATAGTTCTAAGTCAGAACTAACTCAGGGAGTTTATTTTAATTCATATCTATCAGAAGTGAATAATAATAATCAGGATGATTTTTTTTTACCTCTCTTAGTCAGTCATGTCTTTTGGAAACAAATTTCACAAACCTTCATGGCTACAACCTTTACGTTTATAATTCCAATGTGTTAAGCATTCTTTGTGGTAAAATACTTTGGCAGTGGGAATGTCTTCATGTTTTTACAGTGGGGGAAAGCTTAGAACTCTTGTAGATAACAGAACACAGTGAAATTTCATTTTCTTGTGCCCTTTGCTTTAGAGTGAATCCTCAGGGAACCCAAGGTCTTTTCTTTACTAAGTTGTAATTCTGGTTCCTGATCACCAAACAAAAGGTTTTGCAGCAGGATGAATCTCCAGGGAATTATCCTGGATGAAAACAGCCAACTCCAAAGGTCACATATTGTATGATTTCACTTACATGATATTGAAATGACAAATTATAAAAATGGGAACTAATATGGTTGCCAGAGCTTACTGAAGAGGTGAGGGGAGCAAGAAGGGAATCAGGTATGCCTGTAAAACAGTAATGAGGAATTTGTTTTGTATCTTCACTGTGTCAATATCAATATCTGGTTGTGCTGCTGTACTATAGGTTTGCAAGATGTTACTGCTGGGGGAAATGATGAGCAGTACAAGAAATCTTTTTGTAATAACATCACCATGAACCTACAACTATCTTAAATAAAAAATTAAAGATTTTACAGCATCTCAGCAGAATACCATTAGACCAAATTATTTGCTTTATGGTTTTTCTTTAATTAAATCTGATTATACTCTTAATGAAAACTACTCTTTCCGGTTTCACATTGTCCTTATTCGAAAGCAAGGATTATAGGGCACATTCCTTAATGATCTATTTTCTTCCAAGGAAATAGGATAGCACCAGGTATCTAGTGAGATTTCCTGAAGGCAGATGTAATTGAATCTATTGCTCTAATTAAAAAGGGAAGGGGCGCCCAGTGAGGGGTGGGGATAGTCCTGGCCTCTAGTGCAGACTCTTCACTAGGCATCAGTTAACTCCTGTTGTAAGTGTTCCACAAAGTTTATATTGATACAAAGTAACCACTCCCAAGCCTGGCAACTCTGCGCTGTTACTGTGTGTGTGTGCTAAGTCACTTCAGTTGTGTGTGACTCTGTGTGACCCTCTGGACTGTAGCCCGCCAGACTCCTCTGTCTGTGGGATTCTCCGAGCAAGAATACTGGAGTGGGTTATCATGCGTTCCTCCAGGGGATCTTCCTGACCCAGGGATTGAACCCCAGTCTCTCATGGCTCCTGCATTGACCGGTGGGTTCTTTACCACTGGTGCCATCTGGGGAGCCCCTGCACCGTTCTTCCTTGTTGCCAAACCTCACTCACTGTCTTGGAATGCTAGTTCTACTTGGTCCAGCAAGATTTGTCCCTGGGGATGTGTCAAGCACTCCTAGCTGCGGGGGAGTTTTGCCCCTCCCTCAGTTACTGAGCCTAGTATAATTCCTGGCACATAGTAGGCCTTCAACACATGATTTCTGTTTCTCGAATCCACTCTTCCAAACCTCATTAAGAGACTACTTGCAACTTAGGTGTAAAAAAGACAGCATAGAGTTTTGAAGTGGATGTAAATATTTTAAAGAGGCAGTGCTGCCAACTGCTAAAGCTTAAGGAGCAACATCCATGATGGATTGTTTACATTTTTCCTATTTTGTTGACTAATTAGCAAACTCAGGAAATAGTTCATGAATATTTACTCTAGTTAGATGGGAAGAATAAAGGAGAAATAAGTCCTTGCTTTCAGGAGACTTATAGTTAGTGGGTACGAGAGATGCAGAAGCAAGTAACTAGAAAGGGGAGCTAGACAGACCCTTCGAGTGAGTGAAGTGGAAGAGCATAAGGGAAATGACATGGAGACGTGATAGATGACAGCGGTATCATGAATGACACTGCTCTGGGCTTGGGGGGCCACCAGGAGAGGGATCTGTAATGCAGCTTGTGCTGCCTGGTAATGGAGTAACTGTTGGGACCTGGTAACATTGTTTTTCTCAAAGGTAGTAAGAAATCTAGATTTTTAGATATAACCTCTAATTTTTTAAAAAAAATCGGAGGCTAATTATTTTGCAATATTTTGGTTGTTTCTGCCATACATCAGCATGAATCAGCCACAGGAGTACCTGTATCCCCCATCCTGAGCCCCCTCCCTCCTCCCTCCCCATCCCATCCCTCTGGGTTGTCCTAGAGCACCAACTTTGAGTGCCCTGCTTTATGCATTAAACTTGCACTATAACCTCTGATTTTTAAAAGGTCACATTAAAAGCTTTTTCAGTACCTTGAGCCAAACAGAAGAATCCTACACCTACAGAAAGGTGTAGGAAGGAACCCACAACTTAGATGAGGAGGTCAGAGAAGACTTTGTGAAATCAGTGACGTGTTGAGCTGACTTTGAAGTGATAGAACAGCTAGAGTTTTGGTAGGTGGAGAGGGAGTGGTAGGAAGGGAAGGGCCCTTCAGGCTAAATGAATGTATGACTTAAGGCTCTGAGTTTGGAAAGTGTATGGCATATTGAATAATTGGATAAGGGTGAGTAGACTTGTGGGATGATCACATTAAAGCAGTGATTCTGTTTAACTTTTACAAATATTTAACAGTATGCACTAGTTTTCTTTTTTTGCCATTTATTTTTATTAGTTGGAGGCTAATTACTTTACGTATTATAGTGGTTTTTGTCATACATTGACATGAATCAGCCATGGATTTACATATGTTCCCCATCCTGATCCCCCCTCCCACCTCCCTCTCCACCCGATTCCTCTGGGTCTTTATTTTTAAAAATAGTCTTTATTAAGTTCACAGCAGAACTGAGCAGAAAGTACAGTTCCCAGATACCCTCTGCCCCCACGCATGTACCATCTTCCCCACTATCAGCATCCCCTACCACAGTGGTGCATTTGATGAACCTGTTTTGGCCTGTCATTATCACCCAAAACCCACAGTTTACACTAGAGTTCACTCTTGGTGTACATTCCATAGATTTTGACTAATATGTAATGACATGTATCTACCACTGTAGTATT